AAAAAAAAAAAAAAAAAAAAAAAAAAAAAAGAGGAACACAGAAAACATATATACGTGGGCAAAACATGTAAGAAAAGAATTGGGGGCCAGAAAGATGGACTTGTGGTTAAGAGCCCTCAATGCTCTTGCACAGGACCAGAGTTTGGCTCCCAGCATCCACACGGTGACTGACAACAGTCTAAACTCCATACACAGTAGAGCTGGCATGGTGGTGCAGGTCTTTAACATCAAGACTTGAGGAGCAGAGGCAGGTGGATCTCTGAGTTTAAAGCCAGCTTGGTCTACACAGTGAATGCAAGGGCTATGTAGAGACACCCTGTCTCAAAACAAACACAAAGACTACATAGTGAGACCCCATCTCACACACATGCGCACGCACACACACCAGAATAATGACCATGCACAAAATTAACCCATCAAATGAATACAAATGTACAAATCTGTACACATGAAGGGCAAACCAAAAACAAAACAAATGCCTATGGGCTTGGAATGTGCCTTGACAGCCTGACCCATAAATGGTTCTGAGGTCCATGTGTGCATTAATCACAGAACTGTGAAAACCAGCAGTAACAGGAAAATGGGCTGAGGAACCAACTAAGCAGGTGTTGTGTGAGTAGCACATCTACATGGTTAGAATGCAACACAGAATATGCTAGAATAAATATTTGCTGACAAGGATAAATATTAACATTTTGTTGCAGAGATAAAAAGCAAATTATACCAATAATGTAGAAGTGTGGTTTTAAAAAAAAGTACATATGCAAACTGCATATATGTGCACACATATGTTATTACAGCAGCACTGACTGTATAAAAGCATACATGAAATGACTTTCTGAGAGAGGCTGCTATAGGAAAGTAATGAGAGGGAGGTACCTAGTGAGAGTCTGAGACTCCGAAGGGCTGTTTCTCAGAGAAGCCTGCTCCAGGGGATGCAGACAGACACGAGCCATAGCACAACAACCCCACCAGCCTACAAGGCAGGGGCAGGGGCACTAGTGGCCCTGCTGGGTCTGCACGTGCTAGCCCATTTCTGTTTAGGGTTCCAGGGGACAGAGAGGAGACCTGGACGGATGTCCTGGTGCCTTACCGGCTGCATGGTGCCACCTGCAATGACCACTGCTCGGCACTCCCTCACCACCTGGGCAAAGTGCACGGCTGGGTTCAAGAGCAAGAATTTGAGGCTGCTTTCACCAACGCTGCCTGAAAGACAGACAGACAAAAGGCAAAGAGAGGAGTAGACTAAGCATAGGAAACCCCAGATAACCCACGCTGGCACTCTCCCTCTAAGGAAAAACTCACTTCTCTTGCCATCGGCACTATGGACTTACATGAAGACGCGGGTGCAAAGATAATCTGGCCAGTGTCACAAAACCAACCCCCAGACAAGAGAACAAAAATAAAGCCCAACCCCATCTGACCTCAACCGTGAGATTCTGGTTCTATAGGACCTTAACGGAGACAACGGGGCACCTCTGAGACCCAGTCTCCAGGGCCACTGCTGGCTCCAGGCCCAGGAGGCATGCAGCCCCATCACAGATTGAGTGCAGGCAGTACGGCAGAGCCCTTTGCCACGAGCAGTCAGTTACCTTGGCGGCTCAGGATAACCCTGCCATCCTGGTTGGCAGTGGTGAGAGCTGCCAGAAAGGCCTCAATGTGCATCAGCGGGGAGGCAGGTCGCGGGGCTGTGGCCAGGCCCTCCTCCAGGGAGTCTGCAGAAGAGGGTGCGGGCAAAGAGGCCTTCCTCAGGTCAAGTCCATGTTCTTTCAAGGGCCTGTGCCTGGCTTTTCTCTCTCACCCTCCTAACTCACCATCAGCAGGCCCAGACTGCAGGCTCTTCAGGAAGTGCTGGAAGCCATCCAGATTGCAGTTCTCCTGGGAGGTTGAGGGGGATGGAAGGACAACTCCAAAGCGTTCTGTGAAGCCAAAGAGCTATGTGCGGGGAGAGTAGGACAGACACACGGAATGAGAAGACACCCTGACTGAGACAACAAGCCAGAAATCACTTCACACTATGGACAGGGGGTCAGAAGCCCCAAGTCCCCAGAGCAGCAAAGTAAAGCAGGCAGGGGTGCTCTGGGGGTGCTCTGGGTCCTTGCCAGGACAACAAGCACGGTACCTTCCTGCTGATCATGCTCTTCTCCAGGTACCGCTGCACCTGCAAAAACAGCACAGGCCTCATGAGAAGGAAGCAAACTGTGGTCTGAACTCTAAAGAGATAGCCACCCCATACCACTGGCACCTCGGAAGAGCCCAAAGCCTCGCAAGAAGTCGTACTGGTCTGCTTTCTGGTGTTTCTCCTAACTGTAGCCTCCTCACAAACATCCACACTGCTCTCATCTCCCTAACCATGTTAAGACAAGATCTGACTGGTGGGAAAGTTGGCTCAGCCAGTAAGAGCACTGGCTGCTCTTCCAGAAGACCTGGAACCTACATGATGGCTCACAACCATCCGTAATTCCAGTTCTGGTCCATCTGATGCCTTCTCATGACCTCTTTGGGCACCGGGCACACATGTGGTACACAGGCATACATGCGGGAAAACACGCATACATACAAAATCAACTTCAAAAAGAAAACAGTAGTGCCCATATGTGGAGTGGGCCATGAAGAAGTCAGAGGTATTTTAAAAACAATCCCAAGGACTGTAAAGATGGCTCACAAGCTTGCCACACAACCATGAAAACCTGGGGTGGAATACTCTGAGAACACATAAAAGCCAGAGATAGTAAGGTATCTATAATCTCAGTGCTCTTACTGAGAAATGGGATGCAAAGACAAGGGACCCCAGAAGCCTGTGAGCCAGCTTTCCTGGCATACACAGTGGGAAAAGAACAAGAGAACCTGCCTCACACAGAGTAGAAAGCAAGGACCAACAAGGGAAACTGTCGTCTAACCGCACGCACGCACGCACGCACGCACGCACGCACGCGCACACACACTGTCACATACATACTTGAATTCAAAACACAAATGTATGCATATACACATGGCACACACATAAAAAGACAAATCTTAGCCACAGAGAAACCCTGTCTGGAAAAAAAACAGAAAAAAAAAAAAAAAAAAAGGAAATCTTTTAAAAACAAAGAAAAAATGCAATCCTTTGCACAAAAGCAAGAAGGTAAGTTCTGGACCTGTCCCAAGGAAGACCAGGGTGTAGTCTCCCTGCTGTATTCAGTAGAGGGTGATGCCTCAGCTCAGCTCACAATTTGAGAGCATGAGGTTTGATGGGAATGAGGAAAATTGCTACAAAGGTTGGCATCCGGCTAAGACTGGTTTGGTCAGCTTCACTGAGTGAGAAGGGAGGGGTCTGAAGCAAGCTGGAGAAAGAAGCCTGCCACAAGGGTCACAGCTGTGGGACTTGAAGCTGCACTAACTCAAGAACAAGGGGCAAGTCAATTATTTAGAGTTGAACACAGGGGTTAGAAAGGTGGCTTGGTGGTTAAGAGCACTGGCTGCTCTTCCAGAGGACCTGGG